TTGCGAATTTGACTCCACAAAAGTGCATTATCGCAATATTAACTTTATGTGTAAGCATTGTGCATGTATGTAAATGAATGGCTACATATGTGGTGGTAACCTACTGCAGTTTTTTTGTTTGTTTGCTTTTGAGTTGGATTCTCACTTTGTCACCCAGGCTGGAGTGCAGTGGCACAATCACAGCTTACTGCAGCCTCTACCTCTTGGGCTCAGGTGGTCCTTCTGTCTCAGCCTCCTTAGTAGCTAGGACTACAGGCATGTGCCACCATGCCCAGCTAATTTTTTATTTTATTTTTTTGGAAAGATGAGACCTCACTATGCTGCCCAGGCTGATCTTGAACTCCTGGGCTCAAGCAGTCCTCCTGCTGTGGTCTCCCAAAGTGCTGGGGTTATAGGTGTGAGCCACCGTGCCTGACCCCATTGCAGTTTTTGATTGATTTCATTAAGACTTAGGTTAATGAGACTTAGGTTGTCACAGTATTTGAGATGACCCAAGCTATATAAGTGATTTCTATTTTTTTTTTTTGAGTTGGAGTCTCACTCTCTCGCCCAGGCTGGAGTGCAGTGGCACGCTCGTGGCCACCTCAGCCTTGACCTGCTGGGCTCAGGCAATCCTTCTGCCTAAGCCTTCCAAGTAGCTGTAACTACAGATGCACGCCACTGAGCCTGGCTAGTTTTGTGATTTTAGTGTGGAGACAAGTTCTCATCATGTTGCCCAGGCTGGTCTCAAACCCCCGGGCTCAGACAATCCTCTCGCTTCAGCCTCCCAAAGTGCTGGGATATAGGCTGAGCCTCTGTGCCTGGCCATAAGTCATTTTTTTTTGAGTTGGAGTCTCACTCTGTTGCCCAGACTGGAGTGTAGTGGTTGCTCCCAGCCACCGCAGCCTCGATCTGCTGGACTCCGGCGATGCTTCCACCTCAGTCTTCCAAGTAGCTGGAACTACAGGCACGCGCTACCACACCCGGCTAATTTTTTGATTTTTTGTAGAGATGAGGTCTCACCAAGTTGCCCAGGCAGGTCTCGAACCCACGGGCTCAGGCAATCCACTCACCTCAACCTCCCAAGATGCAGGATTACAGGCTGAGCCACCGAGCCCGGCAATAAGTCATTTTTTATGAGTATAGTTCATCTGCTCATAACTTATACCCATCCGACTGTAATTAGTATACCTGAGCGTTTATGATTGTAAAGTATTTATGTTATTTTGTGCTTGATTGTGTAAAGTGGTCTATGAAGTGTCTTGTTGTGTTTTTATACATTTCTCAAATATAACTCCTTTTAAAAATGTAAATAAATACCTTCAGCCGGCCTCGGTGCCTCAGCCTGTAATCCCGGGCCTTGGAAGGCTGAGGTGAGTGGATTGCCTGAGCCCGCGGGTTCGAGACCTGCCTGGGC